TTTCCATTGTTAAAAAGTGTAAGGAAGTAGGAACTTTTTCAAAATACCGTGTACTATCAAGTCCATTTTGTAATACTGTCCTTTGTATATCATTAAAAATATCAGCAAAACAAAGTTGAAAACTATTTTCCATACCTGCCTAAATTTTGCACGGGCCTCTTTCTCTTTCATTCTTCCGTGGGCAACTAAGTAATCAAATACTTCACCTGAATCAGAAAGGTAAAGCAGGTAGTAAAATATACATAGATTTTCGGTAAACAATATATGCAATGTCAAGTTTTTGTCTTGTTTTTCAATAAACTTTTGGCCCACAATTTTCTGCTAGTTCTAGATAAGTCACAAACTAACACATGAATAGAAAAAAGAGGGGAAATTACATATAGAACTGAATATCTGATTTAGCAAAACTTTTGAAAAAATGTCACAAAAACATAATCAAGAAAACTTGCTTTCTGCTTTCAAGTAGTATATAAAAATACAGTCAACTCTTTATTATCCATTCTAGTAAAGGGAAGCCACAGCCTGGGCAATCAAAAATTACATTTGGCTTTGTACTTCAGGCCTATATTTCAAACAAAAATACAAAGTTATATTATGTTGGCTTGCTCTTTTTAAATTCTACCCCTCACGTAATCTTGATAAAATTCCATCTCATTACTTCCATCCACATTGATTTATTTCTTTTCTTTTCTATACTCTAATTACGTTTATTCTCACTCTACAATCATCTGTGTGTGCATGTCCATTACCCCAAATGAACTGTATAAACTACTTGAACATCATCATCACAGCTGTACTTTATTTGTATCCTCATCTCCATGACAGAACACGAAGTGGACAGACAATAAATAGTTGTTAAAATAATTTAAAAATAACTAGAAGTTGTAGACATTTTCTGTTGGATCCGTTACTTCACACACTTACGGGTTTTTTCATTTTTCTCTCGTCAGTAATAGTTTAAAAATAAATTAATCTTTAGTTACAATATCAAAAATACTATCTTAGTATAAGGAATAAATTTATTTTTTTGTGTCCTTATAATTTGCACCATATAGATATACATGTATATTTAAAAAATCACAGAATAGCTTAAAGAGCTCTTGTAAAGTACAGCAAAGTGGTTAAAAAATCTTAGGCTTTAGAATCAGACCAATTTTGGTATGAATCCTGGTTTAGCCCAAAGTAGATATTGAGAAACATTAGGAAGATTTATCAACTTCATTAAGACTCAGTTTCTACCTACTGCTTACTCACATGGTTGTTGTGAGGCTTAAATGAAATAAATAATGCACAGTGACTGGCATATAGTAAGCACTCAATAAATGATGTATTTGAACCTAGGCATACAGATATATTACATATACATATATGCAATATCAATCCCCAGGATATAAAATATTAAAAATCAAATATGTAATGGATATACATCACATGAAACTAATACATCTATAACGTTAGACAGAATATTATATCAGGCATATTTAAGTGATTAAATGAGATGATGAGAACAGAAATGAATGGATGCTCTAGTTGACTCATCATAGTAGTTAATTCTAGGTACGTGTTAATAGTTGTTAATTCTAGTTAACCCATCACAGTAGTTAATTCTAGGCTAGGAAAGATATACACACATGTTGAAAACTTTGGATCTACTCTTAAATTATGTCTGGAGTGCTTATACCCCAGATATTTACATGATGCTGTCCTTCACTTATCATATACTGTTTATGTATGATTTGCTTCCCCAACTAGAATGTAAACTTCTTGAGAGCAGAGACTTTATCTTTACTCACCCATGTGTTCCCAGCATCTAGAATATTACCTGATACACAGTAAGCGTTTAATAAATATTGTTTGCATGAAAGAAAGAAAGAATAAACTCACCATTCCAGAGTAGCCCTGACACCTACTTTTAATAGGCTCCTTTGGATTAAACATGGCTCAAAATAAAAAAGGAGTTCCCTGATTTTCTAATCACCGAATATCTTCACTCCATTAGTGAACCAGAATTAACTGACTGCTGGAAAAAAGGCAACTGTCTGACTTAGCTCTTGATCATACTAGATTTCTAGCATGCATGTCAGATTCAATCCTAAACTTTCTAGAAATTTCAGACGAAAAATACTCAGTGTTTTATTTTCCAGAGTCACCTTGCCATTTATGGATTAAAAAGGCAAGAAAATGATTCTAGATTTACTGTCATAGAACCAAGATGGTTTTTGTTACAGAATCACTGACTGGCAAGACCCAAAGGAAATCTATCACCAGGAATCAGAATTGAATAAGGGACCAGATGGTTTGGTCTGAATTCTAGTACCCATCTCTCTATACCACTCTCCACTGTACCTCCCAGTTATGCTACTGAAGGAGAGCAGTGATGACCCCACCTTATCTATGTTACTCTAGCCATTGCTCCCCTTCATTAGCACCAACAGAGAGTTGACTGTACTTACCATTAACCATTAAACGAGTACACATATCAGTAGGGGGGGGCCTTTATAAAAACAGAAAGGCGTCCACAGGTTTTTAGCAGTCTATAATTTCTCATATCAAAGTG